TCACTAACGAAATAACACACAATATAAGCAGTTTTTTTTTTAAATTTAATAGCTCGCATTTATACTACTTTAGGTGTTTGATTGTCCTTCTATATTTATTTAAAATAAGTAAATTACTTTATTATACTTTAATTTAAAATAGTGTCATTTAATTTCGTTAGTAATCCGTCCTAAAGCATTTACCGCCGTACTCAGTCATTTAATGACACTGCCTAGTCCCCCAGCGGTCTCCGGTGATGAAATAGTTTCAATATTCATTAAACGACTTGAGTACGGGAGTTAGAGGTCTGCTCACTGCGACAACATGGCGACGGCGCTTTCATCACAAACGTACGAAAATATTCACAAAACATATTTCAAATCTGTTACACTACATCCCTGCGATATCACCACATTCGTCGAAGCGAAATAGGCCTCCTATGGCATTCGAACTCTAACCACACATTTGTCGCGCTTGGCATCCGATTAAAACTATATTATACTCATTTAGATATCAAAAATCGTGAAAATACTAATTACAAGTGAATAAACGATTAATAATGTACATTTACAATGAATAAATAGGCTTACCTGCAAACTGGCACAATACTGTAATTAGACATGGGTGACTTGTCGGATACATACTCAAAATGAACAACTAGGTACTGTGGCAAATACTTAACGACTATTTACCAACTTCTTGGAAAAATATTCGAGTAAAGAACGGATAAATACCGTATTTATTAATTTCGAGTACTTGTCCGGAAAATAACCCACCTCTAATTGTTACAAAGTTGTGTACAAAACTGTAATACAAAGTTGTGAATATATCATCAAAACTGTCTTCATTTTAGTTGTTTCTATACATAATTAAGTAACCGACAAAGCTTATCTTTAGATGTTTTACAGACTAAAGTTATTATACTCCTTTGTAACGTTATTAATATGACTTTAGTATTAAATTGGCTACTGCTACATAATACAATTAAAAGCATTTAGAAACACAGGGCAAGGAAAGACACCATTGATTATATTTATCACCCTGAATAAAGCGTGTTTCATAAAATTTTAACAATACATTATACTCGATAGAACTCTGAAACCCGTCTATAAATTCTACGGCATAACAACAAGCTGTAACCCCTAGCATTACGAATCGGATGACCAAAAACGCGTAGTACAAAAAATATTATTTGTTTACAAATTAAGAGTGCGTTTCCACTGACAGTATTACACATGCAAATTAAAACTTTCTTGTATATCACACGTTTTGACTAACGTATAACAAACGAGATGTTAGTGAGAACGCACTTTAATTCGCTTTTAATAAAATAGACTATACATATAGAACGCTCTCAGAACCAATTTGTACTCGTAGAGCCAACTACCCCGTGCCCGCGGGGAATTTTGAAACGTCTGTTTAATGATAAAAAAAGATCTTTTACAGAATAATTTCTAAATATAATTCGACACGGAATTCTTTTGAAAATATATCTATCAACAATTCAACTCACAAACAGTAAACCCTATCATTGCACTACCTATACATATAATTTCAAATCACACACACACTTACTCAAGAAAAAATAAATCGTGTTTGTATTTTAATCTATTTTCGTTTTATAAACACTAAGATAAACATATTTAGTACCACAGAGTATACTCTAATTACCGACTAACCAGGTTAAAGGCAAGAAATGTCAAAATGTTGCCTCCATACGCAATATCTATATCATTAATACATATATGCGATAAATCAGCCAATATGAGAAAATTAGCCTCTTATATGTAAATAGCTGATTAGACCATTAATTGATATAAACTAAATTAATTAAATTACACAGCTTACATAAACCACTCGAAGACCCTCGATAAGCACAGTTATGAGACCCGGTCTGACACGAAACTAGTCGAGTATTCTCAAAAAGTTTACGCCAGTAATTTTAATTAATTTAGCAAGTTTCACAACAATTATTATACTAAAAATTAAAACTAATTAAGTATTGAAGTGTAAACTAGAATTTTTGACTGAAGAATTAATGCCAACGAATATGAAGTTGGTCAACTAAACTAATATTAAAACTAAATTTCGCGAAACTATACGTTGAGAATAAAAACCAAGAGACGATTAAAGCCATACAATTAAATTAAAGACGAAAGGAATGAGCAATTCAGAAAGATATGTAAATTGTATACTACATTTAAATTGATATTAGACAATTAAAACAACTCCTTTTCCACTTTTCCAGTTACTATTTTCCAGTTTTATCTTCGATCAACAATAACAACTAGATAAAGGGTTACGTACAAAATCAAGCTCCAGTTCTGTCCGTGTGAATAATAATAGTAAAAAATAACAAACAGAGAAAAATGTTTTAAAATAGTTTTAAGTTCAACCTAATAAAAACCATGGCACCTAATAATAAAGTCATAAATCGTCAAAATATTATCTAATACTTACGACCATTCGTCATATAAGACAAGAAAAGTATTTTCTTACTCCTGTCATGTAGAAATTAAAAGACATAAGTTATACAATATCTAGTTTGAATTCAACCTTAAGGTCGAACAAATAAAGATAATTTTTCCATTATTGTCTTGCGATCTATATCGTTTTGTTTTGTTTCGTTTTGCTTCTTCAAATTTCGAATTTCGCTACAGGAGGTATGTATGGAGTCGCGTTGGACACTAAAATAATTTTATAATATGAAAATTAACATTTCGGGATCTTAGTATACATCACTAATTTTTATTAGCGGTACGTTTTTGTGTATGATATGTTTATTTACTTTATCGTTAAAAGTCTAAGTCTAAGTCAAAATTATTTATTTCAGTTATACCAGGAAGGCACTTTTGAACAACAACAATATAAATTTAAAAGTGAAGCTATTTGCTCATTCCAAGGTGTAGATTCCTATGGAGAAGAACGAGCAAGAAACGATACAATTTCTTATTTTTTCAATACAAATCGACTCCATGCATCCACTGTTCTGTTTATACAAATGTTGGCGAGACTTGGCCAAGGAATCGCCAACACACGCACAAACATTGGTGGCGTTGGTTTATAATTGATAATTTTGTCTAATTTGATATTATTTACTAGTTTAAAAGCTTAAAATATAACTTATACTTTATGTACTTATCAAAAGTAAGACACTCCGGCCGTTATACTGCTTTTTCGGTTGTTATTTTTGCAACTTGCAATTACTCGTGAGACGTGAGTACGTTGGCCGTGTTTGGAGCATACTAAACAAAATAAGAGCTCACTTCTCAAGTGAGCTCTTATTTGTCGAGACGATTTTCTTGCGCCGACCCGATATCTAGTTGTTATTGTTGATCGAAGAGTTTTATACAATAAAGTTTATTTCTGATTAAAGTTCGATCCAAGTAATGACTAGACAACAGAATTTCCCAAACATAAAAAGTAGGATAAACCATAAAACATGATTATTTATTTTATGTGTTCGATTTTTTAAAATTAGCTGCATATTTCATTGTATCGTCAAATCATTACTTCAACCTAGATTTACTGAGAGATCTTTTTGATATGAACTTAGTTTGCCACCTGTGGCACAAAAGTTCATTTTGAAGCTGTAAAAAGACCTGTGTAAAAGTCTAACATTATTTTAAATAGAGTATAAAAACAAAATAAATGTATTTGAAGGAACACTGATGCCTAAAAAAGTACCTTAAACTTTTTCTTTCAACCTATTGTGTTATTGTTCACAAGGGTTGTCACGACGTTACGGTTGCCGCACGTGATTAATTTGGAAATCAAGGGGTGCTATGCAAAACTTTACGAGTCACGTGAATCAAAAAGTCTAAAAATTTTACGGTTTTCTTGGCAAATTGTTTCTGACAAACTGTAAAGGTAAAGGCAAGGTTTCGCAATAGATCGTGTTTCAAACTGTTACGTCTGAATCTGAATTCCCTATAATAGAGATGTGGATGGATCAGTTTCCAAAATGTCATGTCTTTTTCGGGCCGACATGCGTATTTTGTTCAGAACAAGGTATTATTAAACGTACAGAAGTCACCAACGTTAGTCTAATCAAAGTGAATAAGTAAATATATGGGGTTAACCGCCGTACGTACTTAGACCCATTCTATGGTACTTAACCTAGCACTTAGTGATAAATGTTTTAGAACAAAATCGTAACAAAAGAATAGTTTAAGTAATCATTAAACGTCTCTGAGTACGACAATAGCATAAGCTTTGACATAATTTTTCTTAAATCAATCTTCAGCTCCCATTGATTTTCTTTTTCCTTTTATTCGACTAACTAGAAAGAAAGGTAATTGCATTTTGACATTTTTATGGAGATTAACTATTGAAAATGATCGTAACACAATACCGCAAAAACGTAACCCATTTTTACCATATAGGAAACACCTACACCATCAATTTAGGCGGTAACCTAAAGGTAAACAATTTTGGAACAACTTTTACATGAAAAATGAAATGAACACATAAAATAAAGTCATTCGAAAAGTAACTTTAACGAACTGGGTTTAAAACTACTTTCCGGATACCTGTGTTTATATCTTCAGCCCAATGTTACATGTAAAAGTTGTGCAGAGATTGTTTAAATAATTTAAGAAAAGCAAACAGCCTTAGGAACAGTCATTGAAATATAAGAGACATAGACATTTGATATTTTATTAACGCCCGAATACTGAATGGCTTCTCAAAATTCTAAGTCCCGCTTAAGTACAGATCTGTCATTACAAATTCTTTATAAAATAAAAAAGATGGCACGATATTTAAGTAGAACGTAGAATTGGGATGATGACAGGGTATGAAAATTAAAAATGTAATTAGTCCGTAAGTTAGATAATGAAAAAATATTAGACACGTATTTTGTCGTATAGTAAAACAATACTTAGATAAAACGAATCAAAGTTTAGGAGTGGGGGCTAAAACGTCATTTCTACGTATAAAATGTACATAGAAGTGACGTCACGCGACATTTGAAATCAATATATCGTCGAATGTATTCGTTTCTGTAAGAAAATAAAAAATACGTGTGTAATGTTTTAAAATAATCTATCAGACGAACATTAAAATAAAAATTAGGCATCTACCCTATTGAGTAGCCTCTCAGTATTCGGACGTACATATACGTATTTTATAGTTATCCACGCTCTGCATGGTTACATAGATCTATATATTTCCGAATCACATTTTTAAATTTGAATATGACATAGTTTTAAATACACCTGTACCGTGATACTTTCTAAATACATGCACTTTACATTATATTGTCGACGTTCATCATGAATAAACCTTTGCGCATAATTCATTAATTTAGGCACAATATAAATAGGTAAATAATTTAGGCGATGTCTCATTCGATTTGAGAATAGACCTATTAATATCCAATTTTAAATAAGTTTATCTTGAAGCGATTTTATCATAAACACGTAAAGAATACTTTATTTCAAGCCCATGGTTGAAGTAGACGTCTTAGAATCAATCTATTTCGCCGGGGTGTAAATGCGACTTATCAACTAATGAATTTGAGAATGTATCTACCAGATCCTGTTGAGCCATGTCGCAGAGTCTCTCCGGTACGTCCTGCGTATCTTCGAGGTCGTTGATAGAGTTCACGGAATTTTGGTCGCTCAAAGACAAGCTAGTATCTGTGTCGTCACCATAGCAACGGCGTTTATGGTCTGAAGGAAAATTGTGGTAGGAATGTTCGACGCGAATCGCCTGCATTGTGTTGCTGCAAGAAAAAATAACATATTATTGTTGACCAAATTATTCTAAGTCGGAATTGACTTTCGAACCCTCAACATTTATATTTTAATTTATAGGTATCTCGTGTAAGTTATCTTATCGCTTTATATGGAAAACATAATAAATGATATTGACTATTGTATCAAGGCTAAAAGAGATTAATGCTAAAAGTATTCAAGTATCTAACATAAATTTACTGACACATTCTATTAACAAAAATCTAGGTCAAAATGGTATAGTATTTCTACTATTTCATAAATTTTACCTGTTTTACAAAGAGACGGGATAGTCACCTGGTTTTCCTCAGGACCGGCCGACCCATTTCCACTTGCAATTCCAAAGAATAGAGCTTAGCTAGTGACTCCAATTTCTCCTTTTCTTCAGGATCATTGAGACTTGGCAATTTCAATTCAGTTTGGCAAGAATCTTGCAGGAATTTCGAAAGCTGTTCGTTAGCAGCACTTAGAATTAAGAAACCTGGTCTTTCATCCCGTATCCTGCGACATCCAGCTCTGATTTCCCTCACTTCTGTCACTACAGCATTCCCCATTGAATGTTCACTGTAGTAGTGGTCGCTCTGTGGCGACTTCTCACTCAAATTCAAATCACTGGACGATGTTTTCTGTAGCGAAAAATTCGTGCGCGGCGTCTGGTTAAACGATTCATCCTGCTGAGCCGATTTCTCTTGAAAGGCCTGAAAGGACTGAAAAAACGACTCATTCGCGTTCTGACCAGACACACCAGCGTTTTTTATGTCACTAAAGCTGCTGAAAGAGGAATGCGGCTGAAGAATGTCTCTATTTTCTTTCGAGATAGGTTCGTCTTCTAAATCAACAACAGTTTTAGAATCAGACATCATTGCGTCGTCATCGTTCCCCGAATCCACTTTAGCTCTTTTCTTCTTGAACCTGTTCTTGCAGCTAGCCCACCCACTTTTGACTAATAATTTTTCCTTTTTCAAACGTTTCGGTGGTGGCATGTTGCTGGCGGACTTTGGAGAATTATTGTTCACTGATTTAGAAGTTTTGAACGTAAGGCTTTTGTTAAAGACTTTCAGTTCTTCGATGCCGGGCCAGTCGGTGAGCTCATCGTCTCCTTCCCTATCACTGTCGTTGGTAACCACGCCATCGGAATCGCTACTACTCAGGGAGCTTGATTCATTCCCTGCACAATCCATTCCACTGTTGGAATCATCGAACATCAGCGGGTTTCTCAGGGAAGGTGGGTGTGATTTGTTCAACATTTTAAACTTTCTATGATATTTCCCGTCGAAACTGTTCTTTCCCGTACTAGTTGTAGGGTTAAAGAAAGGCGGAAGATCTGTCGTTATTTTATACCCTGTCAGTTTTGATAATGTTGGAGTACCATTTTTGGAAGAATTTTTGTAAACAAAATTGAAACTGGAACTTCCCGGTAAAGATGGAGTGTTTGTGGGTGTGGTCGGTTTTGTACCTTCTGCATTCTGAGACTTGAGTATAATTTTGCCAGGCTGAAGCACAGGCTCCTTCTTAGGAATGTCTGTGTCATATTTCCTTGACTTAAAGTCGTTTTTCGAGAAGTAAGCAGACTTTGAAGAACATCCACCACTGAAGGATCTCTCTCTCATTTCGCATCCATCGCCTTTATCCCGGTGCGACCATTTTCTTTTACCACAGAAGGCGTTTCTGAAAAAGCAGCTATTAAGCCAACATAATGAAAATTAGTTACTGTTGTGACAATAGACGATTCAATGACATCTTTCCAAAACATTTTATACAAAATAAATACTATTGTGAGAGACTGAGAACTAATTTTTGCGGTGGGAGTAGGTTGGCACATTGTGTATATTATCATTGCCTTTTTGATTACCGCCATCATTTAGTTGTAAACATTAATAATAAGAAATTGAAGTTGTCTTGAAGTCAAAGTGTAAAGTAAAAAACGATGAATAATCTAGCCATAGTTTGTATGAGGTATCATACAAGTAATATTCAGATACACAGAAATATCAATACAAAGTACTGAAGCTTACCTTTCAGGTTTAGTGAGAGTCTTGTGCTTTGTTACATGAATTCCCGGGGTCAACACTGGCCTCTGGAGTATTATTGTAGCAGGTAGTGCATTGGGCTAAAAGATAAACAATAAATTATAGACAATAAGTTTGAACATAGTTTATTATTAACTTCAAAATTAATCTCTTTATTTATATCAATATTAACCCTTTAAGTGCCGTCATTATAGACACAGACACAGAACAATGAGTGTGCGGACATCGGTGTCCTCACGCTGTTTGGCAGTTTTAAGGCTAATGATCTGACTTTCGTAACGTTTAAACTATTTTTTTTTTGTATTTGATGCAGGTAAATTGCAGCTAATAAAATTGGTTGTAGAATTAGATATAATTGAGAATAAATAAGTTAAGTCATTGTTGTCATCATTTTCTGAGCATTTCCAATGCATGACTAAACTATTGGTTGGTTTAATTAAAGAAATTTTTATGAGGAAAATTCATTCCAGAATTTGTTTCATCCACTCAAAATTCCCCAACTCACCTCGGTAGTCACACTAAGAATCTCAACTGGTGGTGACCGTTTCCCATCGGTATACTCTACAGGCATCTTCTTATATTTGCGTTTCCTCCTAGCATTGGCTGGTCTTGTTGGGGAGAAGTTCTCATTGAAGGAATCGGACTCAAAATTTCCAATTTGGCAATAATGTCGGGATTTGAGGCTGGATTTGTGCAGGCTGAGGTGTGGGTCATCTGAGTCTGATAGCGGCTGTGTGATGAGAGGGGCCTGAGGCGGACTACTGGAGCTTCCATCTTCAACTAGGCTCACTGCCACTGCAGCTGCTGCAAATATTAGGTCAGTGTTAGTATAGCCTCTCGTTGGAAGGAAAAATTTCATGATCAAGGAGAGAGCTAGGACATATAAAAAAGTTATAGAAATGATTCATAGAACTTAATAACGCTAGGTATATTTATTTACCTAAAAATATAGTTAGTCCAAATCATTAGGAACATTATTTTAATAGATTATTTGTAGATTGCTTACCCATTTTGTTAGATAATTAACTCGTTGAGTACCGGTTTTGTAGACACAATTATAGAACAATAGGTTGCGGTCACCGGTGACCGCTTGGTGTTTGACAGTTTAATAGTACAAGATGAAGTCATCACAATTTCTTAGCAAAATTTTTAATGCAAGTTCAATAAGAAGTGTTATTAAAATTTTAAAGTGATTGTTTACATACAAAACTAAAAATAACTTCAAACTACCGAAACGAATGTTTTGTACAAACATCTCCCAAAGCAAACAATAAAACCTTGAATAAAAATTACGTTCATACTTACGTAGGTTTCCGGCAGATCTGGTGCGTCGACGGAAGCCTAGCTTCCTCCGCTCCTGTCTGCCGCAGTTACTCTCCTCCAGAGCCAGGTTGAGGTCATGAGACAACCGCTCCATCGTCCCTAATGACCCTCACATAAACCCATATCGTGCCACTAAAATCTAGAACATACGATGCACCGGCTCACTTTGTTTACGCCACTTTGTCTCATACGACCTACTTCCCACCTATCCTTTAAATTCTTAGATTTAAGACACTTTACGCTAAAACATCCGAAATAACACATTCAAAACAGTAACATTATCTCACAGGATCACAACAAAATTATTTCGCAAGTCCTTCCCCAAAACTAACGGAATGTTTATTTTTATTATCAATACATATGACCATTCAAAATACTTTCTACAATCGCAATAGATATAAAAGAGAATTTTATCAATTAAAATGATTAACTTCCACTTTCGTTTATCTGATTTTTACCGTACATGATTTTGACAAAAAATAATAAATATCACGACGACATTCACGACACTAGATGAATGAATGGAATAAAAATTTCATAATTCCACCACAGATAATATTTATGTTAGTGCTGCTGCTGGGTCTAACTAACTTGATCATTCACCGGTCGTTTCGATGATTCCTAAATCGAATAATTCCATTGTAATAATCAATTAATTATCAAAATTATAAGCTACCTACTTTAGTAAACATTTTGCTTTTATTTAAATAATTGATGATTGATATTCAGTTTCATGCTTAAAATTCTAACTAGGTCAGACACGGATACCTAGAACTCGAACGTCAAATAAATAAAGTGTAACCGTTGTGCTGTGCTTGTCGGTTGTCAATTTTTGCGCCAATTTCATTTATTATTTTTATTTGATTATTTGCCTTTACTCTTCGTTTTTCACGTGAAAATTTTGCTTGGTTGCATCATTTTACTTTATTAGTGAAAGGTAATGTATGATACACCATTATACGCTTATTATTTTTAAGATCTACGCTTATCATTAGCGTCAGGTCCAACGCTATTGTATTTTGTCGTTATTTTGTATAGAAATGAAGTAGATTCTAAAGTAAGGGTTTGAATGGTCGCTTAATAACAGGTTTCATTTATTATACTGGTTGCAATCGTCGTATTATTAGATTTGATCATGTTTTTCGTTTTAGATTGTGAAGGTATATTGAAAAGAATGCGTCACTTGAGATTGTTTATTTTTGTTTTATTTTGCTTTATTATCGTTTGTACATGGCATTTAGAACTTGATTCCGATACTGCATTGCAATTATACAGTCTAACACAGATTGTTTGTATTATAGTGTATTTCATATGTAATTATAATTTCAATACGTTTTTCAGTTAAACACACTTATGCTTTAAATAAGCGTTAGCGTATTTAACGTGTTATACACAGTTTCATTTGCAGTAACAGTTCCTTATCTCTGTGCAAACAATATTAGTACACAAGTCATAACCTACCTCAATGCATTAAGTGTTAACCAGTACTTAATGAAATTGCCACCTATTTAATTAATATTATAGCAGCAAATCAAACATATTATACTCACCTCAATAGCTAATTAATAATAGACCTCAATAGGTAATTAATAATAGCTATTATTCTATTACCTCATTATTGCTTTATTATGGTTCTGTCTCAATTTACTTATTTGCTGTTACGGTGCTGGTGTCTTATGCTGTTGTGAAGAGTTGAATCTGTCCATATAGTGTCAACTCTTACATTACTAATACTCATTACTCATAGTATGTAATGGTAACTCTTTTCACCAAGTTTGTGGTATTTGTGGAGATATTTTTATGTGGTAGGTAATCAATTATTAAAATACTAGCTTTTACCTACGGCTTCGCTTGCGTCACAAAAGGATAAAAATTAGCCTAAGTGACATATACCAATATATACAGCGCCATCTATACCAATAATTTCGCTTTCCCTCGAGAATATCAAATTTTTGCGAGATAAAAAGTACCCTATTATTTAATCCAGACTTCTAACTTTACGTCTGCAAAATTTCAAAGCAATCGGTTTAGTAGTTACGGCATGAAAGTGGAACAAACAAACAAACTCACTTTCCGATTTATAATATTAGTAAGGATAGTGTAACATTAATTTAGTAACAAACTATTCACATTTGTTTCATATAACCATGCCACACACTAGAATTTTCTCTTGTTTTCTGCATGTGTTTACAGACAATCACATACAACAATTTGTGGGTATAATAATGTGGGGTCAAAGGTCAAAAGTCCACTGCCACCGTAAGACTACTATCGGTTGCGCTGCAGCTCTTATACACACATGCACATCCATATTTTTATCTGTGTGCGTAACAGCCAGTTGCCCAGCCAGTGCACCAACTATGTTGACAAATACTTCAATTAACAACACAATAACATCACTCCTTTTATCCCTTAAGGGGTAGGTAGAGGTGTACATATCACTATTTATGTTATCAGTCACATGTAATACATGGGACTCATAACAGTGGGTGTTACATTATACAGTGGCATTAAACTGTCAAACACCAAGCGGTCACCGGTGACCGCAACCTATTGTTCTATAATTGTGTCTATAATGACGGTACTCGACGAGTTAAGTGCCGTAATGTACACATCTGCCTACCCCTTCGCGGATAAAAGGCGTGATGTTATGTTATGTGTCCCATGTAATAGGGGGTGAGTCTATTGCCAAATACCGGGCACAATTCCAAACTACCTGCTACTACTGAGATTTATTAAAAAACCCAATAATACATTGCCTGACCCGGGAATGGAACCCGAGACCCCGTGTCCGGCTGTCGCACTTGCGACCACTTGGCGAACGAGCAGTCTTCAATTGAATATTTATTTATACTTATTTGTTTGTTTCCAGCGCCCATGGAGGGCGCGGTGACACCAGACGGTCGGCGCACGCGCGCTGCCCTCGCCGAGATCCCCGTGCGACTGGATCGTCTCCGTGTTACTCCGTTGCAGCCCGTCACTAACATCAGAGAGCGGTCCCCTGCACTGCCTGCTGGGTACCTCAGCCCTGCAGCGTCGCCTGACGAACTGCTTATTCAGCAGAGAGGTACAACGAAAAATCTATATAATCAAAAACATCCCCTATTTACACAGAACTCTTAACATAACTAGTAGGTATAAAGTGTTGTTATATTAAAAAAGCGCACCTCATCCTACCTAAAAATAATCCTCCTATAAAGAATCCACTTTTGAGACTATTGCTGCTACAAGCTCGATAATACTGTCAAAGCTTAATAATACTTATTCTGACCAGGAAATTGAACCCTAGGCCTCTTACACAGCACCCACATTAGCCACGCCACGAGGCAGCAGACTCTATTCATGGTTTTTAAACAAATAAGATGCCAAAGTTTATCGACTTATAAAATAAACTTAAGTTCTCGTCCCACTACACATGTCAAAAAAACGTACTTAAATGCTACGCTGCTCAGATCTGCGTTATGACAGGTCAAAGGTACAGACAGGACCTGACCTCCCGACATTGTTAAAGACAGAACTCTGTCGCATTCGTGAAATGTTTTGTAGATCTTTAACCTTTAACGGTAAACCATTAAGTAATAGAAAATCTAGTGATGAAATGTATAACATAGCGGACGTCTTGCGGCCTTAGCATTGTCGAGACTTCCAGCCCAGGTTCGTGCTGCAAAAATACTGTCAGGTCAGCTCAGTACCTCTCGTCTATATCCTTTCTCCTTTATCAGACGTAATGATGTCTGATAAGATCGATAATAATATGAAATAGAAAGGAGTTTGTGATGAAATGCCGCCACAAACTCCTTTCTCTTTCACATTATTTTTCAATTTACACCATCTATCCATCCATTTTCAATTCATACCATCGATCCATCCGTTTTCTGTTCACTGGGTGCTGTCCATCCCTTCACGTTCAAATACAGCCTTCTTCTAATGCAACATGGGCTTTTTTTGTGTACCTACCTTAATTCTTGTTGTGTGTCGTGGCAAAATAAATGGTTTTTCTTTCTCATAATTTCTTATTTTATCCTTTCTTGTCATCCAACAGTCAATCATAACATTTTTATGTCTGCCACAGGTACTCATCTTTCATTCATCTTTCTCATAACCTAGCATTCAAATTCACACAAGCATAATTATTTAATTACATTATAACTAAAATTATAAAATAACAAAATTTATCTTCCAGGCCGCAAACGTCTCCCAGTGACATGGTCGCCAGACATCGATCTGAAGCGTAACTCATTCCACTCCACCATACGCACACCACCGAAGGACAACCATTTATCTCCTCACAAATTGGGCGTCACCCTTCGTTCGACACCTCGCAAGCGTCTCCTACTCGACACTGAGCGCATACCTCTGACTCCCGAAAAAATTGACTTCAGCGACATCAGCACCCCCCAAAAATTTAAAATTACCAGTCCCATTAAAAGTACACCGCCCATTAAGAGATGTAGGCTCGATAGATCATTGAACACCGAATACAAAGGCCCCATCGATGCCGCCCTCAAAGGTTTGAGTCCCACTCAACTCATTCACATGATCAAGACCATTACATACAAGCATCCGGAAATTGAACAGGAGATTAGGAATGACATGCCAGTACCTGATCTGTCACCTCTTGAGGAGCGCCTGAGTTACTTGAAGAGTAACATCTTCAAAAGTCTACCTACCTCCCGGCTTACTTCTAAAACTGATTCCCCCGCGTACTCCAGGGTCGCCACTCATTTGGCGGCGTTCAAAAAGTGCGTTGTTGAACAGGGTAAGGTCTTGGTCGAGTCTCAGCATTGGGAGTCAGTGCTACAGTATGTTTTCTTGGCATGGAGCTATGTAAAAGCTACACCTTTATGGGACAACCAGCCACATAATGCTCAAAGAAAACAATGCTTCAGAGCCCTCACAACTTATTGCATGACTGCCCTGAAAAAGGGTAACTTACAAAAAGATGTGCTGGCTGATGTTCAAGATAAGCTCGAAGGAATGGTGGCGGACAGTGAGGAAATAGCGTCTTGTTTGAAACAGGTGCAAGGTCAGTTACAAGAATTTTAGTAATTCTAATCTTAATCGTATTTAGCTTGTTCTAAGATTGAGCATATTGTGACAGATTCTATAATTGTTATTTGATTAATTGTTAAAAGACTGAAAATGCTATCTACACCGATCAATAAGAATAAAATTCTACAAATTGAAAAGGTTATTAAAAATTGAAAAAGTATTGTATTACAAAATAATTGATGTGGCATTTCTTTGTAATTTATTATATTTTCTTTTCTTCCTGTATAATAATTTCTCTTTTCCTAGTTATGACATACAATTATGGAATCTGATTTATTTCTTTTAGTTAATTGATACCTCAACTTAGATTGTAGAATCAATATTTTTTATCTTCTTTTTGTTAGTTTAATCTACATTTTCTATAAGTTATTCACATGTTTTACAAACTATGATTTTAAAAACATAAACTTAATTGGTTAATAAAATATGTACTACCACTAGAACAGCAGCTATCAAAGCTGAATTATTATTTCACTGTAATGAAATTTCATACTTTTGCTGAATCAAAACTATAATTTTAATTGTTTATTTTTATTATTGATGTGTTGCCAGTAAATAAATTTGTGCCTTCATTGCATTTAAATAATGATATTTTTTTTATATCTAATGTTTTTCTTCATGTTTTTGTGTTTTTAAATATTTAGAATAAGTGTGACGACTTTGGTACTCTTGAAAGGAATCAAAAAGTATTGTTTAAGTAAAATATATTCGTCTTCCATATTTTTATGGACTCAATGTTTTGATTCTTTTCAATGTAGCTGTGACAATGCCAAAGTTTACTTGCTAGAAGTAGTATTTACTGTATGTAGTATTTGATAATTTTACCTTTTGTAATATTTTGTCATTACTTTAAAATTCAGTTTCTATAATCTACTAATGAAAATGCCTTAAAAATGTCATTTGAATAGTCTGTTTCATTGGTTTTAATAAAAAAAAGTATTTCTGACGCCACTACAACATTATATTTGTTCAGTTGGACATAAGTTTTATGAATACAAGAAGTAGATAATACTAATAACAATGTTGTTAAGGAATTTACTAATGACTGGTGAATGAAGCAGAAAATCTATTATATTAACCTTTAGCTGTCATAGATTACTTAATCAGCAGTTTATCTACGTCTTGTATTTTAAAACTTTTATATCTGACTAGCTTTTACCCGCGGCTTCACTCGCGTCACAAAAGGATAAAAGTAGCCTATGTGACATATACCAATACACACAGCGCCATCTATACCAATTCTTTTGTTTTCCCTCGGGAATATCAAAATTTTCCGGGATAAAAAGTACCCTATTATTTATTCCGGACTTCTAACTTTACGCCCGCAAAAATTCAAAGCAATCGGTTTAGAAGTTACGGCGTGAAAGCGGAACGAACAAACAAACAAACTCACTTTCCCATTTATAATAGTAAGGATTGTATTAACATAATTTGATCGATGCTAAGGCGTAGACGAGTTTGTTAAAGTTTATAGTAATCGAAACGGGACGGCGTTCAGCACTCTGATTGGTTCAGACAATCAGAGCACCGAACGCAGTCTCGTACTAAGACCTCTGATTGGTTGGTTCATTGAAGCCAGCCTAGCCAAGCCCTCTGATTGGCCTGCTCTAATGAACCAACCAATCCGAGAGTCAAACGCGATAACGTTTCAATCTCGTTAATGTAAAACAAACTGATACTTGGTCCTGTGGTGTATGTGGTCCTGCAAGGTGGAGGTCGGGAGAGAAAGAACAAGAGTAATAAATTAATTGAAAAAAAAAACATCTTACTCGTGTGAACTATTCAAGAAAAGGTCTACTAATTTCAAGTGACGTCTGAATGCATATTTATGAATACAGTACGTGGAATCTATCTCGAATATTCACGTGAAAAATGTCGCAATTTTCAATCAATTTACGATCTAATACTGAGAGGCTACTCTAGTTCAAGTCGCGCTGTATAGTTCTGTCGCTACAAATTCTTTATAAAATGACAGAGATGGCACGATATTTAAAGTACAACTTAAAACTGAGTAGTCTTTCAGTATTCGGCTAATGGCCAGTTTCAATAATACGCCTGGGAGCAAAGTAACGGAGCCGTTTTTACTTTTTCATTTCTAGATAAATATTATCTGATATTGGTACAGTTTGACGTATTAAACTGTCAAACACCAAGCGGTCACCGGTGACCGCAACCTATTGTTCTATAATTGTGTCTACAAAACCGGTACTCGACGAGTTAAAGGCAATTTAGTTGTCTTTGAAATGCGAGCACTGTTGTTAAAGGATAAATTTTATAGAGTTACACAGGGTTCGAAAAGATAAAAAAAAACGAACTAGTGGCTCGTTTTTTGCTCCTAAGTGTGTTATGGTAGATTTTTCTACTACAAATATGAAATGTCATTGTATAAACGGTATTTCTCTATTCTCTAGTAGTTAAATCTACCGATTAGGTTATTGAAATAGGTCGTTAACCTATAATAAGCAGTTTAAAATTTGATATAGCAGAAAGCTATTCTAAAAACTATAAACATAAGTGACATCTGACATTGTAATATTGGCAATACACACTAGAATATTAAACATGAAATAACTAAAAATGTATGTTCACACGCCCGTCAAGTAACTCTAAGCCGCCAATTTTATTTACAACGGTAATCAAGAACAGCTAGGTCGTTCTGTACCTTTCGCAGTGAACTTGATCGCGGTCCGCCATGCATTACTTGTGAAAATAATCTCGACCCATGACGGGGGTGATTGAGCTCACTTCGAAATTTCAAATTGATAGTTAAGGAGGCCATACACGCTAGGTTTTGCATGATGGTTTTAGCCGTGCATGCATAACCGACAGGCAACGATGGGGCCCAATAGGGCCGATGCCGATTCGGAGTCGCGGAAAACCTAACGGGTAACCGGGGCTCCGGCTCGACGTGCAGGAGAAGGAACGGGGTGGTTTTTAGTCAGTAAGAGTCTAACACTCCCTCCCGCCTCACCCAGGCGGGAGCAGTCATTCGATTATTTTCCCCCCTTAACTCGTCGAGTACCGGTTTTGTAGACACAATTATAGAACAATAGGTTGCGGTCACCGGTGACCGCTTGGTGTTTGACAGTTTAAAAAAAAAACGTGTATGTGATTAAACTGTACAGTTATCAGTGCATCGGTACTCGGTTATGCTTGTCGGTTTTGCATGCACAGTTATAACCATCATGCATAACCTAGCGTGTATGGATCTCCTTCAAATTCTTTGAATTATATTGACTTTTAAGAATAGTTTGTGATTGAATGGAAGTTCTTGTGAAAAGCCAAGATCCATCCAGATATTTTGGATTAAAAGGTCGATTACTATTTCCGGCGTTAATCGATTTTGACTCTATTTATATTATTATTATAAAGAATTATTTGATTGTATTTCGTAAACTCCAAATGGGACCGATTTTATTAATTACCGGTGAAAATATTTATTTTCATTGAGAACTAGTACTATAGGACAGTAATACAACCTGACTTAAAATGTCTAATTAAATTGCTGTAAGCTTAAGGTGGATAATTGTATCGTTGATATTGTTTCTTGTGCAATCCAAGAGGTTTCTTATCCAATCACAGCCGCTGTCAAATATTAAACGTTTTTCTTTAGGACGAATAACGAGCAGTTCACACTAGCGCCATCTGTTACGCAAGATACTCGATATCGGATAGTATGATGACAAAAATTATATGTTATGTAGTGAAATGTATGTCTATGGTAATCATAACAAGTATAACTGTGTAAACACTTTACTACCGCGAATATTTCATCATTACACTATTCTATATAGAGCTATAAATGCAATAATAACCAGACTCCTTAGAAACATGGCTTTTAACTGACACAGAATTTTAAATGGTTATAGTAACTTATCAGAAATTGTAACACAGACCCTGAGAATATTAAATCGATTTTCTTGTGTATTAAGGGTGTTTTTAATATCGTGCGGATTTCGTCACGCGTGCGGTATTGCCCCGCATGCAGAAAATTTCACGCAGCGTGAAACCCGATAGTCTATAGTCCCGCGTCCGTATTCCACGCATTATAATAAATACTTTTATGAAAAGGACATTTGCGGGGCTTACGCATGCGGGGCAATCCCGCACGCGTGATGATATCCGCACGATATTAAAAACACCCTAAAAACACATTATGAAGGTTTTTCAATCATCAAAAATTGTTGTTTCATAATTTATCCGAATCAGTTAAAAGTCGATAGTTTAGAGTTACTTGTAGTGTTGCCTGTATAGAAAAATTGAGATTATAAGCAATAAGTACAATGTGTTGTTTCGACGTAAACGTGCCTTATCATTAAGTGATTGACAAAATATCAACTGATATTGTTAGTTTATGTAATTGTAAGCTTAAATACATTAAATTTTTTGTAATACATGCTTGTTTATTTTAACATACTTACTGTTACTTACCTTTGTTCCTAGCAGTGGACCACGCGACGCTGGAAACACTGTTGTTGATGATAACGTTGTTCAGTTAAATAATTATTTTAAACGAGGTACAATTGATACAACAATGATAATAATCAAAGTTAAAATATTTATTTCAATCAATACTATTTGTTTC